TTAACTAATGGTGTCAGGGAGCAAGCAAAACTAAAATATGGTGATAATCAGAACAGACATTACCCTGGTTGGGGATTAACTGTAAAAGGTCATGAGGGAACTTTCTGAGATAATGGGAATTTTCTGTATCTTGATTTGGGTGATGGGTATACCTGTGTCAAAATGTTGTATACATTTGCCAAAACTTATCAAACAGTGCACTGAAGATCTATGCATTTCACGGTATGCAAATTATTCCTTAATATAAAGATAGAGGAGACATTGGATGTCTTCTTTCCAAGTCTATTCATTTATTCACTTTACAAATAAGGACTTCAGAGGAATCAAGTGACTCACTCAAGGTCACAAATTAAATAGCGACAGTCCTGGGACTGGAATCAAGAGCTCAGTTTCCTGACTTCTAGTCCAGAACTCTGTGTTATGTTCTTCGTTCTGGCTAATATTTTCCGATCTTATCTTTGTCAAAATACTTCCATACATTCTAAAGATACATGGTATCAAATAGCTTAGACTTACAAGTCTAGCAAAGGCAGTTAATCCTGTGAAATGATTTTTAATAGGTAAAAAAAAAAAACCTAATCCTTAGTTCAGTCACTAAAGAATTGTTGAATTTTCTCTCCACTTGGTCACATCACTACCAGAGACCTTGGAGTACAGCAGCAATTCTGATAGAAGCCAGCTATATGGATGCTGAATAGAAGCTCACCAATTGTAACTTTAACATGTATTGTATCCAAAGGAAATGAAATCGCTATCTAAAGGGATATCTGCGTTTTCATGTTCATTGCAGCGTTAGTCACAGTTGAGGATGGATGTTGATAGATAAATGGCCCAGCTTCCTATCCTTCAGAGAGATAATTCTGAGGCTCACTCTTCTGTGGTTGCCCACCACCAGTAGCCAGCTCAATAATGTGCCTTTTCTTTTGTTTTTCCTCCTTCCCTCCCTCTCTTCCCTTGCTTCCTCACTCTACTTCCAGGAGTCACCTCCCAAATAAACTCTGCACCCAAGTTCCTGTTTCAGATTCAGCTTGCAGGGGAACCCAAAACTACACCAGACAATATTAGGAATACCTACTTCATAGGATTTCTCAGCGGGCTAGCAATCAGCATGGAGTTGTCACAGTAAAGCCTGCAGTTGGCCTGCTGGTTTTTTGTAGGAAGAGTGTCAGAAAGTAAAGTGGGCAGCTGGTGGTAAAATGCCTGGCTCCTCAAACTGTTTCCACCACCATCCATCATATTACCTAAAATTCCTCTCCTGAGATCCATTGCTTAGGAATAATCTGTCTGTTTAACACAATTATGGTCAAAAGGAGCATGCTTTACATTTACGTTTCAGCAGTCTCTGGTCTCAAGGAGGGGAAACTTCTCAAAATCCATGCTTGCATGTCATGGATATTTCTGCAGAACTGCTCTGTTTAAACCACTGAGAATTTTATTTGAGCTTTAGGTTAGCCAGGATCACTGGAACTGTAGGTACCTTCATAGCTTCTCAAAGTGTGATTTTGGTCCCAAAAGGAAGAATCCGACTAAATAATGCATAAGGTCCTGATTTAGCATTTCTTAACATTTGCCAATATCACTTTATCAAAAGAGGACAGTGTTTCACTGGCCTCTGCTCATGGAATTGTCCATCTCTTTCCTTTAATTATGTAAGTTCTGTACCTCAGCATGGTGTCCCATCCTTTCTTTCATTGTACAGTTGTCCCAGATAAGCACATTTCTCTAGAGTAGTTTCTTGTATATACAAAGAGGCAAATACAGTGAACTTTCTTTCACACATCCAAATTCTGTTGCAGACTAGTAAAAGCCAGTTGGAAGACATCTCTCACGTCTATTCATGGGTCCACACAATCTAGGGTGATAAATGACTTCCTTCTATATAGTGCTTGACCCAAGTCTGCACCTACAGGCAGGGTCTGCTGAGGTCTGAGGGATATATCCCACTTTCCACAGTACCTCTGATCCCATTGTTTAAAAGTTTCCCATTTATCATTGGGTGTGAATTATCTCAGCTAGTTGTTTGAAAGAAAATGAGATTTTAAACTAATTCACATCAAGTTTGAATGACATTCATGTAAATCACTCAGGAACATTTGAATTAAAAAAAAGAAAGAAAGCTAACCTTTCTTCAGGAAATAAAGGAATTCAGAGGACAAAGGCACAAATAGTCGCAGAATTTCCCTTTTCCTAGGAAAATGGCCTAACGCTACACTTGTGAACTCCACAATCTCAAAACGCTTAGAGTTTAGAAAGATTTATTGTTTTCTCGCATTGGAGGGGATAATGATTAAGCATGCGAGTTCTAGAACCAGTTTGCTTAGATTCAAATTCCTGATTCATCATTTATGAGTTCTACGACTTTGGCAATGTATTTAACATTTTTTTCGTTTGCTTTGCTTTCCTACCTACAAAATGGATGATATCAAGTGGTTGATAATAGAAACTACTTCACTAGGTAGGTGTGAGGATGAAATTAGTTAATACATGTAAAGGTCTTTGAATTGTACCGGGCATATAGTGAATACAAAATATGCCAGCTTTCCCGTACTTGAAGTGTCCTTAGAGCATGGGCCTCACCAGTCTCACTCCATCATTTCCCAGTACCTGGAGCTTAAGTTCTGATTTTGAAGGAAGAGCCAGAGAGGCTCTCATGCCAGAGCCTGCCTTTCCTGCCTTCCAGTTAAGCATAGGCTTAAATGCCTTTGAGTGTTTGTTTACCCAAAGCAGATGGAGACCATTATAAGACTTGTGATGCTCTGAGATGCAGGAAATTTCCTGGTGATTAAGATATATTTTATGGAATTACCAGTTATTTACTGTAACATGATGGCTGGCGCTTTTTATTAATCAAAACTCTTTAGTTCTTTGAGAGTTACTGTGGTACTTTCTAGGAAACACTTATAAAAAGCAAAAATATTCCTAATTATGTACATATATATGGAGGTACAAAATTGACTCATTTTATATAAGCCAAAACAAAAAGCTTGAACAAAAATTAGACTGGGGAAGAACTTGTGTTAGACAGTAGTGCCCTTGGACTAGATTTAATGTATAGCCTAGATCTAGTACGTATTCCAAATTATTATAATATAAGGAGATGATTTATTGAATACCTATCATTCTCAAGTTGCCTGCCATGTACTTACTACCTTATTTTTTACAGTAACTTCTTCTTGGACTTCAGATGTCAAAAACTAAAGGTTGATGAAACTTCATGAGAAAGAATGAAGTATGGAAAAGTGTGGTCTGGTTTGGAATAATTGACATTCGTCTAATAAATCTAGGCAATGGGCTTTAAGCTCCACCAGTCATTATCAATATTTTGGAACATATTGCACTGCACCTAGATAAACAAAATTTAAAGTGGTCGCTTCAAAACTTTCCATTAAATAGAGCTGATTCTCTTCTTGCATCCCATATTTCTCATTTCCACATTCTTCTTCTCAAACAGAAGTTTTATATTATTCTGTTTTTACAAAAGGAAGGAGAAGATGAGGCTAGCAAAGTCTGTTGAGATTCAATTAAATGCTAGGCTAAGAAATTTACTTTTAGTTAAAGAACTAGTCATTAAATACTGGAAGTTTCTCACTATAGTTCTACTCTGATTTGGGTATTATAGTAGATAGCTGTAAAGTTGGATTTTAGGTACAGACTTCTGAGTAGTGAATAATGTTCTTATTCTTTTAAAAACATGCTTACTCTACTAACAATTTCTCCTTTTGTAATCAATCAGAGCTTTAACTCAAGACAATTTAGAAAATAACACTTTCCACTCTCCTTTCCAAACACAGGTAGGACAAAGCTTAGAGAAAATTATATAGACATTGTCCATTAAGTGCTCAGTAAATATTGTCAACTAACACCTCTTTTTACATTTCTATTACTTCCTCTAAGAAGTTTGACTTCAATGGAATTTTTTTGAGAGAGTTCTGCCCACTAAACTCAACAGCGTTGTTCCCCACAGTTGAGAGAGCAGGGACATGCCCACAATCCCCTGAGTTCTGTAGCTTGTGTGGGCTGATTCTTGAGCAAACTCTAGAATAGAGTCAGTTCTTATGGAGAAGAGAGAAAACAGTCATGTGATGACCTTGGACTTTGAAAATAAAAATGTGCCTGTGTAGGAGTGGGAGGAATGCAAGAGAAGTAAAAAAAATTCCATTGAATAAATACTAATTGAAGGGTAGAGTGATTTGTCAGTGGTCTGTGTCTTTAAAGGAGATGGCGTTTCCTGTTGTTTGCCCTATATTTCTTTCAGCCAAGGCAGTAAAAAGAGAAAGAGACACTCTTTAGATTCCTCCACCCAAAGAAAACAAAGGAAGGAATCTTGCTACATTTTCCTGTTCTGCCTCTTCCTTCTCCTTCCCCGACCCCTGAGGTCCTAAGTGAAGCACTTGCTGAACACTGGGCCAGTTTTCACTATCTAGTATGGACCATTTGGAGTCTGAGAGAGAATGGGCTTTATCGTATTTACTTAGGTCTCCTTTAATGTTTTAAATGAGTTTTATAATTATCAATATAAATATTATATTCACAAAGCAACAACAGGAGGCTCTACCCTGTGGAGTGAATTAAATACCTGTAAATTAACTTAGCTCATCTGCCAAGGCTGCAAAACCTCACGACTTAAATCTGTGCTTTAATTACAAACAGACTGAGTTTGAATTCCTTTGAGTTTTACTTTTTATTATAAATCTCCCTATCTCCTTTTTCTTCTGCTATCCAAAGGAGAGCTATAATTTTTCATTTCATCATTTTTATCATTTCACTTTATCTCGGATCTCATGGAAATATTTAAGTCATGTGTGGTTCCAAGAAGGAGAAAAATAACACACGATATTAAATCTGGTTTTCAGAAAAATTTACTGCATTTTTAATGGACAACGGACTGTGCCTCTTTAGTACTTTTAGCACTTTATTAAGTATTATGCAGTATGCTTTTCTTTGAATTCTCAGCATGTCGCTGCAGCTTCAGGAAACAAGTGCAGACCCCACAGCAGCCATCCTTTAAAAGAGAATTTTTATTGACTAACATTCAATCCAGACGAGTGTTCCCAGCATGTTAAAATACAATGATGCTTGCTATATACACAGTTGGATGATGCCATAAGGAGCAAATTTTCACTTGTCCCATTAATCATCTCTTCTTTCTCCATGAGGTTTCAGTCTGGAATAGCTTGCCTATTGATAAAATTAGCCATCCTTACTTTATGGTTAAGTTGCAGCCAGAAGCATAGAATTGTGGAATTAAACATTTCTACAAGTACTGTACAGTTCTGTAAATTCTGTTCTCTAACAAATTTCTACTGAAAATCAGAGCAGTATTCATACAGGGGAGAAAAGTCTCACATTGGGCTAAGTCAAAAATTATTTACGAAGCAGGGTTTGTGTTGCTGTCAAAGAAAAATACATTTTTTTTTAATAACCATGGAGCTGGAGTGTAGTCCAGCAGTTCCTAGGTCCATCTACATAGGTTGGGGTATTCTGTAGCTGTATATCTCCATGTCTCAGCAGTGTGTACCCCAGAAGAATGATAAGAGTTGAGGAATCTGACAGACATGATTTCAATTCTAAGGAAATTATTTACCTCCCTGAATCTCAATTTCCCAACCTGTAAATTTAGGACGAATAATGCCCAAATATACCCGCATTTGGTATATACACACATATCACAACTTCTGTTTCTTGTGTCATGGTCTGTCCACACATTTTAGATAGTTGTAAAAACACAAAATTGTAAAACATAGATGATATAGGATTTTGGGGGATGATGGAACTATTCTATGTCTTGATTTGGGTAGTGGTTATATATTTGCATGTGTTAGCACAAATTTGCAGAACTAAACACTAAAACTGAGGAATTTTGCTGAATGTAAAATATACCTCAATAAAACAATGGAGAAAAATAACATGGTTAGTGTAAGAAATAGTGATAGTTCATGAACTACATTTTTAACCACTCCAGATGCTGAATGAACTTACAGAGAACTTAATTTTTTTTAATTAACTTCCTTCTTACGGTTAAGCCCTATATTTTACTCTTTATAAAAATATTAGGGCCTCTTCTCAGGTGTTTGAGATGGCAGCTATGATTTTGTCTCCCTTCTCTAATGATTTAATAAAAGTTTGTCTGAAACTCTCTAAACCTAAAGCAAAACGTGTAGCTTTATCTTTTTGTACAAGCGCCCTACTTTCCTCATGATTGTCTATTAATTTGGAGAAATATAACAAGATCTCCACAGGGTCCATGTTCCTTGTCTGACCTACCTCATAGGATGGTGATGAACATCTCTTGTATAAATGTCAATAATTGCAAAGTTTTGTGCCAAAATGAGATAGAAAGAGAAAAAGACATTTGCTAGTTCAAGCTTGCAAATTTAAGAGCTTAAAAGTAACAGATTCCATTTATGAAAGTCCAGCCTCACCAACTATAGAGACTGGAGTCTGCAACTAAAACATGAGTTCTAGTCCCAATTCCTTCACTTACTGAGCGACTTTGAATGGACCTTCAATGGATATGATACCTATTTGGGGGGAATTTATGAAGACCAAATAAAACAATGTGTACAGAAGCGTGTTGAAATTGTGAGGTCTCATATAAATATAAGACAATGTTATCAGGTCTGAATATGTGCTGGGCAAAGAGCTACCAGTTACAATGCTCTGTAGCTCCTGCAGTGCCTCATCCCTGAAAACCACTTTTTCACTTGATTTTGAAAGCAATCTACGAGATTTCAACTGGTCAGTTATGTGACCACAGATACTAATGTGCCATCCTTTACAGCTTGAGATGAATAAGAGGCTCAAATGGCCACCATCAAACAGGGCTATTATTTTAGTCATTACAGTTTAGGACACCAAAGCCTAGAAGTTTACAATGTTCTTGGTTCAACTCGGCGTCTGGGCCAGCATCCACACTGAGCAAGCTTAGGGCAACAGAAAGCAATGATATGGACAGAGCTCTTTGGCCGTTGATTTCATCCATTTTACACAGCAAAGTTTGAGAACGTGATATGAAATCCAAACACCAGGTTTAAAATACTCTTTCTGTTCCTGAACAAATTCTTCCATCAAAATGGATTACAAATAGTTTTCCAACATCCTAAAAAAAGATGATTTACTGGTAGTCTATTGACTATGCCTAAAAATCCCTCATCAAAAAGAAGGGCTGCACAGAATGGAACTGCATTTTTTGTGGATAATGGACAAAAAGCAAAGGTCCTGTGTCAGCCCATGCCAGAGGCATCCTCCAGGGGTCTGCTGGTGAGAAAAGGAAGGCTAAACGCCAAGTTCCCTTCTGGTTGCTACAGGCTACTGGACTGCAGAGAGTTCAGCTGGGTGCCTGAGGCTGCTTCGTTCTCTGTCTTCTTTGAGGTGTTAATACCTGTTTGGTATGAGCTGAGCCTTCCACAGGAGCTGAAGGGCTGTTAGCTCGGAAGCCTGCTGCTCAGGGGATTAGCTGACCTCTAGTGCACCTAAATCCTGCACAGACCTCAGCGTATGCTGCCTGATGTTCCCCCCCAGGATGCTGTACCCTGGTGGTCTGCCTGTCTCTGAAAGGTGTGAGAATTTGGGACTTATGTTCTTCCATCTGTCGTCTTATCTTTATTATTTTATCCTATTTGGTTATGGTCTTTTAACTGATGCTTTTTACTTTCACTAAACTCTAATTTTTAGCTTCGCCTCCTTTTGAAATGAAGTATAACGCACATCCCGTAAAGTACATAGAATGTGCTAATCTTGACCATCTAGCTGAATGTGTTTCTACATATGTATAGGCTGTGTAATCACCACTGAATCAAGGCATAGAGTACCAGGAGCACTGGAGGAACTTATCTCATGGCTCCTCCCAATAACTATACTCTCCTGAGATAAACACTGTTCTGACCACTGTTACAAATAAATTGGTTTTACCTGTTATGAATCTCTTGTAAATAAAATCACAACTATGCACTCTTTTTTTGTCTGGTTTCTTAGAGCACAATTATTTTGATATTCTTGTATGCTGTTGATCAGTAGTTGATTCTTTTTTATTGCCTATATCAGTCCATTGTGTGAATGCACCATGGTTTTTAATCCATTCTCTTGTTGACAGACATTTTGATATTTTGTGTTTTTAGCTATGATGGATAGTAATTCCATTAACATTCTTGTAGAAGTTTTGGTGAACAAATGTCGACATTTCTATTTCTTATATAACTAAGGGTAAAATTCTCGAATTATTGGTATACAGGTTTAGTAGATACTGTCAGTTTTCCAAATCATTTTATATCAATACTCTCACCAAAAGTGTAAGGGGAATAAGAGTTGACACTGTAAATCACTTAACTTTTTCCCATTTTAGTGGATGTAAAGTGTTATTTTATTGTGGTTTTAATTTGCATTTTCTTTATGCTTAATAAGATTCATTAGATTTTGGTATGCTTATTGGTTATTTGGATATCCCACTTTATGAAATGCCTAAAATTAAAAAAAAATTACATGGTTTATTTTATATTAATTTGCATGAACTCTTTACATATTCAGGATACTAGTCCTTTGGCAGATATATAAATTACAGATATCTTCTCCCAGTATATGGCTTGGATTTTCATTCTCATAACAATTGATATCTTTTGTTTTGAGGAAGATGAGCCCTGAGCTAACATCTGCTGCCAATACTCCTCTTTTGACTGAGGATGATTGGCCCTGAGCTAACATCTGTGCCCATCTTCCTCTATTTTATACATGTGGGACAGCTGCCACAGCATAGCTTGACACACAGTGCCTAGGTCCACACCCAGAATCTGAACTGGCGAACCAGGGGCCACCGGACCATGCGAACTTAACAGCTGTGCCACCAGGCTCACCCCAACAATTCATATCTTTTGATGAATCAACAGTCATCATTTTATTCAAGTCTGGTTTATTAGGTTTTTTTATGGTGAGTGCTTTACATATCTTATTTAAGAAATCTATTCCTACGCTAAGGTCATAAAGACATCTTCTTTTCTTGAAGCTTTATTTTTCTGTCTTTCACATATAGATCTATACTCCATCTCGAATTAATTTTACTGTATGCTGTAATGTAGGAGGCAAGATTCATTTTTTCCATATGAATATTTAATGCTATATCACAATAAACGAAAAGACCACCCTTCCTTCCAGTGAACTGCAGTGACACCTTTGTAATAAATTGAGAGACTCTATATGTGTGGGTCTATTTCTAGACTCTTAATTCTGTCCAATTAACCTGTTTGTCTCTCCTTGTATAACACCACACTGTCTTAATTACTGGAGCTTTATAGTAAGTCTTGAAACCTGGCTGTGTAAGCCCTCCAGCTTTGTTCTTCTCCAATATTACCTAAGCTATTTTCAGTCCTTTAATTTCCATATAAATTTTAGAATCAGCTTGTCAATTTCCACATGAAAACCTTCTAGAATTTTGATCGGGCTCATTTTGAATTTATAGATCAATTTTGGGACATTACATCTTAAAAATATTGAGTCTTTCACAAACTTGATACATCTCTCCATTTTCTTAAGTTTTCTTCAATTTCTTTAAGCAAAATTTTGTACTTTTAATTATATTTTATACATCTTTTGTTAAGTTTAATCCATAGGTACATGGTGTTTAGGTGCTATTTTAAATGTTATTGTTTTTCTAATTTTCTTTTGGGCTGATATATAGAAATAAAGTAGTTTTTCTATATTGATTTTCCATCCAGCAAATTTGCTAGATTACTTATTAATTCTAGTAGTTTATAACTTCTTTTGGATTTCTTATGTAATTACGTCATTTGTAAATAAAGGCAATTTAACTTATTTCATTCTTTAATACTTTTACAACTTTCTTCTTTTCCTTCTACTGACTGGAACCTTCAAAACTATGTTGAATAGACATAACAGTGGACACTCACAAACTTAAGGGAAAAGCATTCCCAAACTCATGGAAAAGGGACGCAGAGAATAGTAGATTATGTATAGATTGTAATTATTTCTGTTTCTCCTAACCACAGTGACAGAAACTAGGCTGTTACAAGAAGAGTTAGGTTTTCAGAAAATTTCTTTGAAACTAGTCCAATAGCCCCTAGACGAGCTAGTGTGTCCATTTCATTATTTTACACCATGCATCTTTAACTCCATCTTCCCACCATCCCCTTCAAGTCATTCAACTTTCATTCAACAATTATTGACTGGGGATGGAGTAGTGACCATCTCAAGTCTCTGCTCTCATAGAATTCACATTCCAGCTGAGGAGAGAGACAATAAATAACCTTACAAAAATTATAAAATGCAATGAGAATGTTGCAACGTGTGCCATAAAGAAAGATAAAGGAGAAAGCATCTGAGTAGAGAGAACTAAGCAAAGTGAGAAGGATGCCACACAACCTTGGGGAGTGGATTTCCTGCAGAGGGCACAGTAAAGATCTCATACTCTTTTTCTAAAATAACTAGTTTTGAAGAGGAATACTTTTTCCGCAATTTCAAAGAATCTAGTTATTTTCTTAACCACTGTGCAAGCCAAGGAAGATAATGCATTTTCTTTCCCATCATCCAGAATGGCAAAGGTCAGATTCTGACAAGTCTCATGGCCAGAGAGCTTCCTTAAGCAGCTAGCGCACAATCTCAAGGACCGTACTGTCTTTAAGCCCTGTAATGATGTAACAAAAAATTTTAATTAAAACATGCCTCATTTGGTGACAGCCAAGCTCCTTGCTCAGATTGCCAGCCAAATCTCAGATCCAATCAAGTTCCTGGTTCATTTACAGGTGGATGTTTTCCTTAGCTGTGTAGTTTTAAATTCATAGCTATCTGATAGCCAACTCCGCCTTGGTAGGGGAAAATTGAACACTCAGCTGGATAAATATTTGCCATGATGTGAAATAAGAGAGATGAAAGTAATGCTGGAGAATCAGAATTCATGATACCAGGCCTTAAAGAGGAAGATAATTAAAAATAGGGAGGCATAGTTTCCAGGAGGGTGTAATTGTCACGTCATGGACTCTGGTCAACTCATGCATATGGTAAAAGCTTTTCAAGGAACTTGCAAAGAAACAGCATTAGTAAGGCAATAGTAATAAGGTTAACTCCTGGAATAAATTTTCTCCTCCTTTACATGATGCTTTGACATTTGTAGGGCTGTCTCTCTATCTTCTCTAGAAAATCAGGGGGAATTTTCTACCTCAAAGTTCTCAAGTGTCTCAGTGATAGACTCTAGAAAAATGGGTGGATTTGCCTAATGAAGGAAAGACTGAAAAGCACTTTGAAAATTCCATCATCAAAGGAGCTATTTAAGTGAGAGGATCATTAGATTATGTATTTATAGTCAAGTAAGATGAAAAGGATAATGATGGGAAGTGATACGGCAGTTAATCAGGAAGGCTGTGAATGAATCGTTTTCCAGAATAATACTTACTGTCAACAAGCACATTCAGATCATTGCCTGAAAGGAGATTCTGAGCAGCTCCACAGCAGCGAGCTGAGTCTCTCTCACTAGATGTTCTTTCACAATACATTAAAAGAAATCTCACCTACAGGTACTAATTGCACTGGGAGACATCACAATAATGGGTACCATTTTCTGAGGACTGAGCTAAGTATTTTCCATGTGTATTTCATTTATAACCCACAACAACACTCAGGCAGGTATTATGGCTGGGAAATTTAAGATTAGTAGCTAAGGACCATCCACAGCTATTGAGTCTTGGTGCCAGAATTCACATCCAGCTCTAACTCCATAGTCTATTCCCTCAAATATTGCACTATCCTGTCCTAAGGGCCCTCACTTTATTTTTCGGTTCCTTACTTTTTTCTCCTCCTAACATTTTCTATTTATATTCAGAGACCAGGGATAAGGTATAGGACATCTCCTGGGTGATTGACATTTCTTTTTGGTGTCATTCTAAATGCTCTAAAGCATTCTAGAGAATGCTTTGTACATTGTGTATCACTTTTCTAACATGTTTAGCTTCACCAATAACACAATTTTTACAAAGATAATATATTTTTCTTTGGGGCGTAGTGTTATTGAGACACCTTGAGTGCTGTGAAAAAAATTAAAAGCTATTAAAACTAACAGTATGAGAAAAAATAAAGACAAGTAAATTTTGGACAAGATATTTTCATAACTGTCAGGAATTCTCTATGGTATTTGTCCTTCTATGTCCAACCAATCCATCAGCATTTTCTTCATCTAATCTGCAGGCACTTGCCTAACCCCTTTCACCACTCCGTCTGGGCACACTGTCAGCATTAGACGGGAGTTCATATGGATAACTTTCTCTGTGGTAGCACCACAATCTGTATAGTCTCCAAATTCTACCAAATCCAAAATTACTCTTTTTGCTATCCTTAGATGGGAGCTAGAACTTCCACTTCTTGTTTTTTTTTTTTTAAAGATTTTATTTTTTTTTTCCTTTTTCTCCCCAAAGCACCCCCGTACATGGTTGTATATTCTTCGTTGTGGGTCCTTCTAGTTGTGGTATGTGGGACGCTGCCTCAGCGTGGTTTGACGAGCAGTGCCATGTCTGCACCCAGGATTCGAACCAACGAAACACTGGGCCGCCTGCAGCAGAGCGCGTGAACTTAACCACTCGGCCACGGGGCCAGCCCCTTCCACTTCTTGTTTTGAGTTCAGTTCTTAGCTTCATGAGATTAATTTGCAGGTTCACCCATGAAGCATTAAGACCAATCAGTCAATCCTCCTTCCTTCCTTCCTCCCCTCCTTCCTTTCTCGCTCATTCCCTCCCTCCCTCTCTTTTTAATTGAAGTATAGTTGACATATAACAGCCTATTTGTTTCAGGTGTACATCATAGTGATTCAATATTTGTATATACTACAAAATAATCACCACAGTAAGTCTAGTTACCTTCTGTCACCATACAAACTTATTACAATATTACTGACTAAAATCAGCCTTTAGGCAGAAGTCAGATTGGATAGAACCCAGCAGAGAACAGAGCAATGTGGAACAGAGAGCCAGAACTGGTGTGTCCACCCAGCAGCTTACGTTACAGTGTTGGGGAGAGAGAGAATAAACACAACGAATAGGTAGAATATGTAGTATATCAGATGGTAGGATACATGCTGTATTAGTTTGCTAGAGCTGCCATAATGATGTGCCACAAACTTGGTGGCTTGAAACAACAGAAATTTATTCTCTCACAGTCTGGAAGCTAGAAGTCCAAAATCAAAGTATTAGCAAGTCCGTGCTCCATCTGGAGTTCAGGATAGAATCCTTCCTTGCCTCTTCCTACCTTCTGGTGGTGGGCATCAATACTTGATGCTTCTTGGCTCGCAGCTACCTCACGCCAATCTCTGCCTCTGTCATCACATACCATTATCCCTGGGTGTGTCTGTCTTCCCATGGTGTTTTCCTCTTCTCATAAAGAAACAAATCATATTGAGTTAGGATTCACTCTAATGATCTTGCCTTAAGCTGATTAAGGCTACAGAGACACATTTCCAAATACAATGACATTCACAGGTATTGGGGGTTAGGACTTTCACTATATCCTTTTGGGGACACAACTCAACCCATAACAGATGCTGTGAGAAAAAGTAAGCAGAGAAACTCAATATGATGTGTGTGTAGGGGCAATGGGGGTCAGATGCAGTATTAAATAGAGTAGCCAAAAGAAATCACACAGAAAAGGAGATATTTGCACAAAGATCTGAAGATGAGGGAGCCAGTTAGTGAATGGTTGGACAAGAGCAAATGCAAAGGTTCTGTGGAATGTACCAGGCATGTTCAAAGAACAGCAAGGAGGCCAGCATGGCTGAAGCAGAGTGAACAAGGGGTGAAGCAGTAGGAGATGAGTTCTGGGAAGTAACAGGGGAGCCAGACTGTAAAGACTTCGGCTTTTATTCCAAATGAGATGCGAAGCCCTTGGAAGATTTTGGTCAGAAGATAGCATGATGTAACACATCTTAACAGGAACTTCCTGGCCACTGTTGAAAATAGACCATAGGTGAGCAGGATGGAAGCAGGGATCCAGCTTAAAAGGCTATGGAAATAATCCTGGTGAGAGATGATGGTGGTTTGACAGTGGAGATGGTGAGAAGTGGTGATTTTCTGGATATTTTTTAAAGGTAAAGCTAACAAGATTTGCTGTAGATTAGTTGTGGGGTATGAAAGAAGGAGAAGAGTCGATGATAATACAAGATTTTTGGCTAGACTGACAAAAAGAAATCAATTACAGATGTACAGAATATGAAAATAGCTGGTACTAGAGGGAAAATCAAGAGATCATTGAACATACTATGTTTTAGATTTTTTTTTGATACCCAAGTAGTTTTGATACCATGTCCAGTGGGAAGTTGACTATACAAGTCTGCACATGCAAGAATAAAACCCCCTGCTCCACATCTCACCTTGGAAGATGCTGCTGCAAAACTAGCGCATGTTGTAGTGCGAGCAGGAACCTGAGCAAAAGGCTAAGTGGCCTGTTTGGGAAAAGATCCCACAGGAAAAGCAGAGGAATCATTGTGTTTTCTCATGATGCAAGTTAAGAGTTTATTCATTTAGTCAATAAATAGATGTTTATTACATAGTTTGGCAGTTTTTAGAACTATATATTACATGCACTTCCAAAGGGTGAGAGGCCAAATTTACAGACTTAACATAAAAGATCTTGCTATATTATTAGAATAAGACCTCATAGATAAGAGAGAAGATCTAGCCAGAAGACAGAAGCAGACTAGCCCAGATTTCATGGAAGGAGAAAGTGTGGTTCTTCAATAGGTGGTGACAGGAGGCTAACCTTTATCCTTTCCAAGGAAGAGGGCTACCACGGGCTCTGGAAGGAAGAATCCACAAAGCACCCATACAGGCCCCATGTGGGACCTGTGCTCAGTTTGGGACAGAGCATAGAGTGTTCTCTCCAGCTGTGCCTGGGGAACAGCTCTCTTGACAAGAGTAAATGCACCTACGAATGCATGCTCTCTAGGAAGAGCAATTGCTCCCAGGCCATCTATAGCACTGATGATCACACACCTCATTCTGTGAAGAAATGAGGCTAGAAGCAAATGTGTGTAAGGTCTGAGAGGTGGAGCTGAAAATCAAGCACTTACCCCAGAAAAAAGCTTCAGTGAGTTTGCAGCTGTTTCTCCATACTTTTATTGTTTCCCTCCCAGGCTGATGATCTAGGACACCCCAGTGGAAAGGCATCATGAGTGTGAGGTCCCGAGTTGGGGTCCAAAGGTATTTTCAACCATTATCAATGATCTCTTGATTGTTCCTTTTCTCTCTATTCAACCTCAAGTCCTATACCAGAGACACAAGGATGTCATTCAGGGTGGACACTTACCTCCTCTAGGACAGATTCCGGGTTGTTAAGAGATGCTATGCAGCTTCAAGTGACTTTGAAAAATGTAAAATGTTATACAGACTTTAGTTAACTTCTCCATGTCACAGCTTAATGAAAAGTTTCTACTTCCCCTTTAAAGTAATCGTGGAATCAATAAGTCTATTAAAAGTGCACTAATCATTTTACAGAGGAGGAATAGGAGGGCAAACTGGTTAGCCATTTGCTCAAAGTCTCACGTTTTGTTACCTGTGGAAATAAGGGGAGAATCCGAGTCTGTCTGGCCTTCTTGGCTACGTCTTCATACACTACTCAATATTTCACTGTCAGTATCATGGCTGCCAATATCTCCAATCTTTGTTTTACTTACAGCATCAACTTATAGCTCTGAAAGGGGCTTTAATGGTCATTTCGCTCCAGGCTAATTACAACCAAACCTTGTTACTATCTTAAAAGTCTTTCTAGACACTCTGAGAGAAACGTAGCCTGGTATCATGGAAGGACCACACGTTTCAAAGTCAGGCACCTGCCTGTGAATCCAGGCAGTCACTTGCTAACTCTGTGACTTAGAGCAATTGACTAAGCTTTGAGGAGCCTCAGTTTCCTCATCTTTAAATGAAGATAATAATACTTATACCAAAGACTTTTTTTAATGATTAATTGTGATGCTGTATTTAAAGGGTGTAATAAACCCAGAATAACTGATAACTGCTGAATAATAATGATTATTATTATTTTCAAAGAAAAGCTGCAAAATAAACTGGCATTCAAGTTGACAAAGAGGTAAGGTGCAGTTATGCACTGCAAGGTAAAAACAAAATCTGAAAAACAAAAACCCTGCATACAAATGGATATGTTAATATGATAGGGAATGTGTTACCAGAGGCCACTGTAACTATAACAATTGGGAGAACCAGGGATGATACCCAGCCTGGAACCTTTTCATATCTTATTTTGATGAGTATCTTTAGCATGCAGTATCAAGAATTCTGAAGATTTATCATTAATAAGTTAGAAGAAGGTGAGGAGAAGGAAGAGGGAAGAGACAGAGGAATTCCAGAAGGTGGTGGAATATACACAGTATGTACAAATATAAGTGCCCCTCAGAACTACTTGTACATAAGGAAGCCTTTTGACATTGAAGATGCACACTGTCTTGGCAGTGTTTGTAAAATCGCCCACAGGTCTTCTCATTCCCACAGGAAAAAATGTCCCAAACTCAGTGCTCCTGTGGGGAGGAGGGTCTTAGTGGGACAGTAAGAGGATTCTAGAGCACATTCAGACCAGGCACTGCCGCCCCCCCACACCACAACTCTCCCCGTGTCCAACAGTCCCATCCCCATCCCACCTATGGGAAAGCTGAAACAAAGGAGGACTTCCCACCGCCATTATGGTCAGAGCCAGGAGGAGCCAAAGAGGAAATCTTCCGATCCTTTACAGTCAGTGCTCTAGATGCAACATTTGGCAAAAATAAGCTTTCTAAAGCTCATCAATATTATTTCCAAATAAACAGAGACACTTCTGGTAAAGGGGACTCTTGGGCAGTGGTTTTCTTCCAGCTTCTCGGTGAAGTTTCCTTTCCTTCCAATTAATGCTCCTTCCAGCCAAAGGAAAATCTAGGGTTTGCTCTGAAAGGCTGCGCTCTCCCTGGAGGACGTGATGCTGTTTTCCTCCATTGAGGCACAGTTGGCCTTGTTAATGAGGCCCTAGGGGGAGAGTTCACAGTCACCAGGGCCTCTCTCGCTCTGGTTGCTGATTACAACCCGGCATCAGAGCTTCAGAGAGTTTATTACCATATGTTCCATTTCCCTTTTTAGCCCTGTTTGGGCTCCGTGTTCAGAGACAAGGTGCTTCCTACAGCCGGGCTGCAGCAGTTTTTAGAAGATGACTTGAGCTATAACAAGAACACTGAGCTTTGTTGAAGACACCGTCTGGAAGAGAACATTCTCCCTTTCATGAGGAGCTATGTTTCAGCACATAATTACCTATACATGTGAAAAGGCCCTATCAGCTAGCCTGGGCAGGCGGAGTTTTTCTTGCTATCCTAAACTTACCTCCGGCACTGTCAGCCTCCATAATATTAAGGAAGCTTGTCAGGGTTTGGATGGAAGGAAATCTGAGGCAGGCATAATGTTTCCTTGTGGCTGGAGAAACAAAATAGATTCTGTAAATTAACTTCTTGTTTGTTTTTCCTGGAGATGATTTTCCAGTAGGGTTGACACAAGAAAAGCATTTCTCCTGCAAATCCTGTGCTCTGATTGTGAAAGAAAGGTTAGTAGAACTAAAATCCTGTAAGTGTTGTCCCTTAAAGCGCCAATGATTTGATTTATAGCCTGTGTTATAAAATGTTTTACAAGTGGTTTGTGTTTATATTTAAATACCCTGGCCACCCCCACATACCATATAATATGATCAAACTTTTTGCAAAGACGTATGTAGCAATATTTATACCACAGGCAGAAAAAGGCTACAGAAGCTTATAAATATTAACCTGCCAGTGTAGAAATACAATTAAACCATGTCTTACATATTTTTCTTCTTCTAAAACTCTTAATAGATTTCTTTCCGGTTTGTGATCGTGATTCCCACGGGAAAATTCCAAAGTTGCTGTGGTTTCCTTAGTAACAGAATCAGGTATAAATTGTGTTCCTATATTTCCAAACATCTGTATCCAAGCAACGTATTAAAGTGTGCTGCCTACTGATGTATGTATAGTCTCTAAGAAAGCTTGACAACAGGAAGAGTTGAAGGGGGAGGGAAAAGGCATAAAAGGTAAAAGCAGAATAAAATCACAAGGAAAAGTAGAACTGTTCTTCAGTTGTTGTTTTTTTTTTTTTAATTTACTGGCTAAATCTGAAAAAAAAAAAGGATCAGCTATTATTGCTTAATAAATTACTAATTTCTAGGGGAATTCACAGTGTTGAATTAAATTATATACTTTACTAGATTCTTCTGTAGGCCATTCTAGCCTGAAAGGTAATTCAAGCAGATTTCCTGGTGGTCATCAAAAGGCTGTCTTCCTTGGAATTACAAAACTCATAGAGGCCCAAAGTACTGATGATGAGTGAGAAACCGTGGAGTGGTGAAGTCATCCGCCAGCACTGTGCGAGCAATAGGTTAACTGTTCTAAAGGGTCTCTGGTATTCCAGACTCAGACTTACTTATATTCTTAGCATGATTCTTCTTACGTCAGTGGATCCAGAAACTTATGGCACAGGCTGGCAATTCTGTCTGGAAATCTATATTCACTTCAAATCAAACTCTTCTGGACACATAAATGCCAGACTCTAAAATTAGTGACACATACTATCTCTATGCCCTTGGGAAATATTTTTTACTTTCTTTAAGACTTAGCTGCCTTATTTTCAAAACAAGAATAATGGGGGGTGGGGGGGAGGGGTAAGAATCGGGACTTGTTTAATGAGTATAGTGTTTCAGTTCAGGAGATGAAAAAGTTCCGGAGATGGGTGGTGGTGATGGTTGCACAACAATGCTACTTAAAAATGGTTAAAATGGTAAATTTTATGTGATATATATTTTACCATAATAAAAAAATACAGGAGGGGCCAGCCCCATGGCCTGGTGGTTAAGTTTCGCACACTGCACGTTGGTGGCCTGGGTTTGGTTCTTGGGCATAGACCTGTACCACTCGTAAGTGGCCACGCTGTGGCAGTGACCCACATATAAAGTAGAGGAAGATTGTCACAGATGTTAGCTCAGGGCCAATCTTCCTCAGCAAAAAAATAAATAAATAAATAGAGGAATAATAATAGTACCCCATTGGATTGTTTTGAGAATTGCATAATGAACAGTCTGTACACTGCCTAGCACATAGTAAGTGGTTAATAAATGGTCACTATTGTTGTCGTGATTCACAGTAACATTAACAAATTTGACTCTTGAACCCCTACGGGAGTCACAACCAGTGTCAGTGCTTACCATTCCCTATCCTGTCATCTTTCTCCCCTCCACTGCACTGGCTCACCTTCACGTCTTGGTCCCCATCCCTCTTTTCACTATCTCCCTATTCTCGGTCTGCACTCTCTGCAACATCATTATACCAGGCACAGTAATCACAAAAGTCCAAAATATGTTTGGGAAGGTCAAGATCTTTTACAAAAGTTGTATATGAAAACAGTACTAAAAGGAAACTATTTTAAATTCTGCTGCAGGTTGAAAAAAAATCTTCAGAGTGACTCTAAAGCAGAGCTTTGATAGTTGCAAGACTCACCGTTGGGAAAACTGCAAAATCATGTTTGATTTCCGTTCCCTCCTGTTCTCGCTTAGATGGGAATAGTACCAATGACCAGCACTTCAAGGTTTAGAGTGATTTTCACAAGTGTCCATTCATTCATTTCATCTCTTACAAGTGACATCCCAGGAACACAGTCACCCCAAGGCTATCATTCTTGACCTGGCACTTTGATGGTATCCTGTTGTTGCCTTTATATAGTCTTGATGCCTAATATGATCCATCCTCTGTGTCTTTCCCCTTCCTCTAGACACCCCAAAATACAAGTTGTTAGAGCTAGAAAGAACCTTGGAAATATTTCAGCCAATGCCCTTCATTTCACCAATAAAAACTTGAAACCCAATACGGTTAGATAATGAGACCTGTCTTACATCTGTCTGCTCTGGATCCTACCATCTTCAGTCTTCTCAGAGACTTTGCACTATCAAGTATTCCCTCCTTCTTCTGTAACTACAAACTTTCCTTACAATTTTTCTTTCAAATTTGCATTTATGTATGCTCAAATGTCTTCCACATTTAAAAAAATATCCTTCCTCCATCGACTCGTCTCTCCAATTCCTAGTCTATGTCTCCTCTTTCACAATCCAGTTTCTCAGAAGAGTTAGCCGCACTCGCTCTTCTCATCTCCTCCCGTCACTCAACTTCACAACCCAGTGTGGGCGAATGTCTACTCTTACCACTCTTCTAAAACTGTTTTCTCAGGCCAGCGACCAGTCTTCTAGGGCTTTAGATTCACTTTTCAATCCGTCTTGCTTGATCTTTCAATAGCATTTGACAACAATATTAGACAGTGTCAAAATACTTACCTCTGAAAATACTTTTCCCTTAACATGCTTGCTGCCACTCTCTCCTGGTTTTTCTCCAACTACCCTGGTCACTCAATCTCGGTATTTTTGGCCAGCTGCCCATCTCTGCCCTTCCATTCAATGTTAGAGTGCCTCAGGGCTTTATCCTGGACCTTTTTTCGTTTAGCTTTCGCTCTATAAACTCTTCCTGGGCAGTTTTTTCTGCTTCAATTACTTTATTGGCCGATAATTCTGAAATCATTTGCTCCTGAGCTCTCTGTATAACTACCAACCTGATGCCTCCACTTTGATGATCTGTGAGAAAACTCAAATTCACCCTGCTCATACCATTTTCTTTCCAAAACATGCTCTTTCTCATTTTCTATTCTAATTAAAAATGTACTCGGTTCTAAGTAAAAAATCTGGAAGTCATCTTTATTCCTTCCTCTTTTTTAATCCCATGTTATATATTCATTATTTTATGAGTTAAGACAATTGAGTGCCTACTAGGTGCCAGGTGCTATTCCAAATAATCAGCTCTACTCCATTCTGTTTAACCCACTCTGTTCCCTAAACAGCCATCTAATGTGCTGGATCATGTCCTGGACCACTCCTTAGTTTATGCTCCAGGTCTTACTTGAACTACTGCAATAACCTCCTAACTGACTGGCCCACATTCACTCTTGCTTTCTTTATTCTTCTTTTACCACAATATTTAATCCTCTCTATTACCAACTTGTAGTTATGAAAACTTTAAAAGGAGTTTTACAATGAGCAATGAACATGCGTATACTCTCCACTTCTATTCCACTATTGTTAGCATTTTACTAGATTTGCTTTATTTCACTCTTTTTATATGTACTATTTATATCGTATTCATATTTTTATCTGTACTATTTGAAAGTAAGGTGTAAATAATATGACACTTCACCCCTATGATTTCAGTACACAAATCTTATAAGAAAATGGAGAATGCTCTCCATAGCCCTGATTCTATATCTAAGAAAATTAACAATAATTCCATGATATGCTATCATATCCAGTCCATATTCTGCCTTCTCCAATTGTCCCAAGAATGTCTTCTATGGTTGTTCCCTCTGCCTTCAATCAGGCTTCTATCTGGATTAACTCATTGCATTAGATTGTCATATCTCTTTTACATCTTAGTTTAGAATAGTCTCCAATCATTTTTTTAATGACATTGACTTCTTGTTAAGTTCAAGATAGTTACATTGTAGAATGTCCCACATTCTGAATATGTTGGTTTATTTCCTCATTACTTAGAGATGATAAAGCTTACCCCTTGGTTAAGGTGCTGACTGACAGCTCTCTGCTCTCTTCATTTTAACTGTACATTTCTCCATTTCCAATTAGAAAGTGATTTGTCAGGTGACCCCCTGGCACCATGCTAATATTCTGTTCCCCAAAAAGCTTTCACTCAATATTCTAGCATCCGTTGATAATCACTGGGTGCATCAATAACTAAGTTGTGGTGATTTTCTCAAAATGTAAATCTGATCATCACGTCTATTTTCCATTACTACAGAATAAAGTCCAGGACACCTAGAATGCCTTCTGGGTCCCTTCAACGTCTGCTTACTCCTACGAACTGGTCTCTCGACTCCTCCTCACTCAAGCACATTCTATCCAAATTGGTTTTCTTTCCATTTCTCTGCCTAAATACTTCACACATCTTGTTTCTTCACTCAGAACATTAATTCCTAGTCATTATTCAGGTTTCTTCTCAGATGCTATTTCATTGGGGAAATTTTTTCCAGCCCTCAGACTAGAATAGCTTCCTTCACAATATGCTCCATTGTACCCCACACCATGATACTATCATCTCCAGAATTCCTACCAAATTCTATCTTACCAGCTATACCACAAGCTAACAGAGGATCTTGCAGGAAACATGCAAGTTAGACTGGAAGTTCATATATTCTGCTTTTAGTGAAGCATTTGACCTTCTAAATATCTGCTTTTTTGCTCTTTGTGTTTATGTTTTTAGGGGGAAAAAATGATGACTTGAAGCAAAGCTGAAAGTCTGTGGAAAGCCAGATAATAATGTTTTCTTTTAAGCTAATCTCTTTTGCAAAGCTATGGATTCCAAAGGTTCTTAGTAGGCAATAGACAGTCTGGTTCTTTGAAAGGACAAAAAGCCCGAAATGGTTTCACCCTGATTTTTTGTTCAAGGGAAAGGACAAGAAGTCTTCTGATGCACTTTCTGTGTAACTACTGTTGATAAAAAGCTTTGGCTTGAAATTTCTGCCCCCCTGCTCCCTCCAGAGGAGGATTAAAGGGGAGACAAATGATAATGTGTTTAATTTTTCTTACATTAATTTCAGCTTCCACTAAATGTCACTTTTCAAGTTCTTTTAGCTTTCTGAGGTTCTTGCTGTTAACAGAAACAGTAATTGCTATTATTATTATGACTGTAATATAGCAGCTGCACTTTTATTCTGCCACCTGGAGAACATAAAAACTTAAACAACCCGTTATTATCTTTTTAGGTGAGAGAACACATCTGTAGACTAACTTCCCTAGCAACAGTCAGGATGTCCCTCTGAGGCCAGCACTTCGGACCACTCAATC